CAGACTGTGGAAATGTATGGTTTACTCATTGGGTTACGACAACAACCAAACACTTCATGGGAATCATCTGTCAGTTCAATACAAAGCAGATGTCATTAAAACACTTGTCTTTTAATTTTGTCAATTAATTGCTATAAATTCTCTATTAATCGATAGTTAAACACAATTGTTATTATTGTTATTATAAAGGTTTTACACATTATAAATATTTAAATTAATTCCTTTTAATTACACTTAAGTATCATTCCAAGATAATTATCCTAAGAATATTCTAAGTTAATTTGTATATAAAATTGTATCAAGGCCAAAAAATAATAATATTCCAACAACTAATTTATACTGATTATTCCAGAATTTTAAGAAGTATATCATTCTGCTATTATTATAATAAGTTATACATATTCTTCAATGTACTGCAAATTGTGTAAATAATTATGTTGTAAATAATTGTGCAATAATTAGTTTACACATTAATTAAATTGAACTATTTAAAATATCACAGAAATATTTTAAAATAAATTTATATTAAAAATTTCTATTAACTTATATTTGAATTTTTCTAAACATATTTATAGAAAATTTTTAAAAAGAACAAAACTTACAGATAAATTAAAATTTTATAAAACGATTAATAATAATTGGAGTTTAAATAAGTTATTAAGAAAATAAATCATATAAATATAATATAAATAATAAATGTAGAACAGTAGAATAATAGGTAAGTTAATTTTATTAAACATTTTATTTATACGGTGTGATACTTTTTTTTAAATATATGAAGTTATATCACTAAAATTATATATTGGCTTGATTTATATTATGACAAATTACATTGTTTTATTTTAAGCTTTATGAGGTTATTATGTGAGCATGTTTACTTTTTAATATTTATTTTCCTGAAATAGACATTAATTTTCTACTTTAATAAACAAATAAAACTACATTTATATAGATTTAACATATAGAACAAATTATTTGTGTTGCGAGTATACACTATAAATTATAGTCTATAATACTAGAAAATCTCTAGGTAAACAATTTTGACAACTAATTATTTCTATTAAAGAACATTTTGTATAAAGTTTTAAAATAAGTTAGAATAATAACAGAATAATAGTTATAAGTTTAATTAAAATTAAATGTTACTATTATGTTATTTACATTTATAAAATTCTATCTTATTGGTAAATTATTCAATATGAAACTCTTGTAACATTTTTCAATTTTAAATGAATGTTCCTTATGGTGAGGTTGCACTGAATTTATATTTGCAATTCTGAACCTACTTTGCATTCTATTCGCATAAATAGACAACAAAAACAATTGTTGTTTTGAATATATTGTATAAAATAATAAACATTTTTGTATAACACAAAAACCTTTGCTTTATTTCAAACATATATAATATTGTCAAACGTTTCTGTAATAAAACTGATTGAATTTAATAGACTTATAAATTTATTATATCGTAACTTTCTCATAAGGCATAACTTGGTCTAAATAATAAACATATAACAATATAACGTAATTGTGTTAAGATCAATTATCATTTATATAACTTTTGTCGTTTAAAAAATATTAAATAAATAAATTATCAAGATGTATAAATTCTGTGCAATAAATGAACATGTGCTGAAACTTAGATAAATTGAATTTTAATAATTAATAGAAGGGTTTTTATGAAAAACATTAAAAAACTATTAACAATAAGTGGAAAGAATGCTGAATGTGAAAAGTAAGCAGAATTTAATAAATTATATTCAATATTTTGCATCAATTTATTACAAAAACTTTTCATTTAAAGCGATGTAAAAATGTTAATTGTATTAAAAAACTAAATATAGTTAATAAAATGTGAATGTAATGTAATTTAATAAATGATTTCATGAATACCCTTATCCATAGTTAGGATCCCATTATATGAAGGCTTCTTCAATAGTGTTTGACGAGGAATTGGATTGAAATGAGAAGTGATTGCATCTAATCATGTGAAGTGTCATTATTGTAGGCATTGTTTGGTGCGACAAATGCTATCACATTGTAATCAATGATAACTAATGTTTCGAAACTATTAATTTATAGCCAATTCTGTCGACAATCAGATTCTCTAATGCAATGAATTTGTCGATTGTTTTGCAGTGAAAGCCAACACTCCATGCATTGCAGTGAAGACGCAGTGGAGAGACAGGAGTTGTGAGACATGAGTGAAGTCTAGCGTCGAGACCGCGAGTGAAACCCTTTGAACAGAAAGTGTGCTTTCATTCAGTCATCCATTCATTCAATCCATTCATTGGACAACAAATCGGCGTTTCATTGAATCAATAAATTGTCATTCATTTGATTGAAATCGTTTGCAAACATGTTTCAAATGGGAGGCACTCCGCAGATACTGGTGTTGAGTAAGTGATATACTTTGGGCTATACTTTGGGGGATGAGTTGCGGTGACTGACAGACATGTGCTGTATTTGCTCTAACAATAGGTGGGAACACGAAGAGAGAGTTTGGCCGCAAAGTACAGATGGAGAACATCAGAGCCGCCAAAACCATCGCCGATGTGATCCGCACGTGTCTCGGACCGCGTGCTATGCTTAAGGTATGTACTCATACAGACCAATACAGACACCTCTTTCCCCCACTCTATCACCATATATGGACATCAACTCAATTATTGTCTCATTTCCACCCCAAAGATGTTAATGAATCCAATGGGAAGTATTGTAATGACCAACGATGGCAACGCAATCCTCAGAGAGATAACAGTGAAACATCCGGCGGCGAAGACTATGATTGAGATCAGTCGCACGCAAGACGAAGAAGTGGGCGACGGAACCACAACTGTGATCATACTTACCGGAGAGCTGTTATCAGTGGCGCAACCATTTCTCGAGCAAAGCATTCATCCGACAGTTATTATTAGCTCATATCGACAGGCGTTAGAAGACATGTTGAATGTGTTGAAAGAGATTGCGGTTCCCATTAATACCAATAACGACAATGAAGTTCTCGATTTAATCAAGAGCTGTATCGGCACTAAGATTTTTGGCAAATTGTAATATTTATGGTTTATATTGTATTCAATTGAGACACTCATTGAATTTATTGAATATTATGTACATTAGGGGTGAGTTTGCGTGCAATTTGGCGCTCAATGCGGTTAAGACAGTGACTATTGAAGAGAACGGCAGGAAAGAGATTGACATCAAAAAGTACGCCAAAGTAGAGAAAGTTCCCGGCGGTTCCGTCGAAGAGTCCGCTGTTTTGTCAGGAATTATGCTGAATAAAGATGTGGTCCACCCGAAGATGAAAAGGTATGGTTTTATTGCTAAATATTACAATTGATTATTCATTTCTATACATATCTTAATCGCAGACGCATTGAAAACCCGAGAATTTTGTTACTCGACTGCGGTTTGGAGTACAAGAAAGGCGAGAGTCAGGTATGAATGATCCATATTTGCTGTGCAGAAGTGACTAATGATGCCATTTGTTAGACCGACATCGAGATCATGCAAGAAACAGATTTCACTCGTTTGCTGCAAATCGAAGAGGAGTTCATTGAGAAGATGTGCTCTGAAATAATTAAAATGAAACCCGATTTAGTGGTCACTGAAAAAGGAGTGTCAGATTTGGCGCAACACTATTTAGTTAAGGCCGACATTTCGGTGATCCGTCGCGTCAAGAAGACGGACAACAATCGTATCGCTCGCGCGACCGGCGCTACCATTGTTTTCAGGACCGATGAGATCAGGGAAGAAGACATTGGACTTCAATCCGGACTCTTTGAAGTCAAGAAAATGGGCGACGAGTTTGTTATTTCATTTTTATTATAACAATAAATTCTAAATTTTGCTATTTTTAGGTACTTTTGTTTCATAACTGAATGCAAAAACCCGAAGGCCTGTACTATACTATTGAGAGGCGCCTCGAAAGACATGCTCAACGAATTGGAGCGCAACCTTCAGGACGCGATGTTTGTCACTCGTAATATCTATAACGAACCGTTCATTCTGGCCGGCGGTGGAGCCGTTGAGATGGCTGTTGGAAAGGTATAATTGTATTGACATTGAATATATGATTGAATATTTTTATTTGTTGTCAGATTCTGTCAGAAAAGGCTAAAAGTATTACTGGTGTCCATCAGTGGCCGTATAAGGCTGTCCAAAAAGCCTTAGAAGTGATTCCGAGAACTTTGATTCAAAATTGTGGCGGCGATACCATTAGAACGTTGACCGCTCTGAGAGCTAAACACGCGACCACTTCTGCGGATAATAAGACGTGGGGTATAAATGGAGAGACCGGAGAATTGGCCGATATCTCTAAGTTAGGTATTTGGGAACCACTGTCTGTTAAATTACAGGCCTATAAAACGGCGGTTGAGGTATGAAATGGTGTCAATATATGTTGCGATCAATAGTAAGTTTGTTGTCATTTTCATAGACTGCTATTCTTCTGCTGCGAATCGATGACATCGTTTCGGGCTCTAAAAAACGCGAAACAATTGAAAAAGAGAAACAAACCGAACGCAACAGAGCCGCCGAACCCTCCGAAGAATCACAAAAAGACTGATTGGATTGATTCACTTAATTATTTTCATTTATTTGGATTTTGAATAAACGTTTTTATTATACAATTTAAATTATTGTTATAAACGGATTAAATTGAGACAAATTGAGAGACTAATCATTTTTTTGTATTTTATGCCATGATTTTAATGAAATAAAAATAAAATTAATGAAAAAAAGAAGTTGAGGTCCCACCGAGATTTGAACTCGGATCGCAAGATTCAGAGTCTTGAGTGCTAACCATTACACCATGGAACCTATAGTAATGTTGGTTTAGTTTAATTACTAGTGCTTCAATTTTGGTCAATTACTGTATAGTATTGAATTGAGGGAACCTAACAATTCTTAATACACATTAGTCCATATTATGTACCATAGTAAATCAATATTCTTTTATTCTTCATATAATAATACTTATAAAATATTTTAATACAATATTTATGATAAAATTGCTTATATATCGAAACTGTTATTGAAGTAATTGTTGAATGGCTTGTAATACTGTTTCATATATAATATTTTGGTCAATACTTGCGTCCAAATATTCTAAATAAGAAATTAAACGATTAATTAAAATCTTCACCGATTGTCACACTAACCAATTGGCACTTCATTTTGAATGCTTTTCATAGCAATCATATTTTGCAAATACATGGGCCAAACGCACGCTTCAAAATAGCCCATTGGATCAGGAGGTAGATATGTGCGGACATTCCGGCGGCAAATGCATGAATTCTTATCCAGAGTCAGAAAGAATTTCTTGTCACACAAATCGGACATTTGTCTGGAAATTAAATATTACATAAGAAATGGATTATTAAGAAATAAATATTTACTTGTTATTTAATATAAGATGTCCCTCAAGGATAAGAATGGGTGAGTGTTTGGGCGGCTCTTTGGTCAGTACCAAATCGATTGCTTCATTAAATAATTTCCAGTCCATACTCGCCATTGACTCCCAGTTCTGGTGTCTTATTGTCGGACTTACATCCAGCCATTCGTGGTTGGGGTCGTCATCCAGCTATCAATTCATTGATTTAAAAGTAGTTTCAAAACTAATGCTAAAAGTATAAGAATGAGAGTACTCTGTAAAACTGATCCTGACTTAAGACAACGCATTCTTCATAGTGTTGTTTGAAACGCTCGGCGAGTGTAGTCTTTCCACCGCACGTCACACTTTATTACATGTACAGTATATTACAATTTTTAATGTATTAATGTGTTATTGAATTAATTTTTTACATCGAGTTTAACCTTTAATTAAGTTTTTAAATAATATCGGAATATTACGATAAATAAAATTATAAAAATAAATACCCAGAAATTGCGATTACTTTCCATTTGGACGACATTTGGCTGAATAATTATTTTTGAATATCTGTAAATTGTTTGTTAATTGTTAAATATATTAATCACCAAATTGTAATTTACATAAATAAATTTATAAATTATAACACATTTATATAAACAAATATAATGCATATACTGTATAATAGCATAGCATTTAAAACTACTATACATTTATAATAAAGTGATAACCAGTTTAGTAAAAGTAATGTCAAATTTAAACACGAGATAAGAGTTTTTAAAATTTGATGAATTGATGTCATAAAATATTTTATGGGTCATAATTAAGCGCTTTACTCAAATTTTAACATTAATGTATTTAATACTAACACTAGTACAGTGTAGTAGTTACACTACAATGCATTGAATAATTATATTATATTAATCTAAAATTTAATATTATAATATTATTAATTCATTTTAAATTAAGTCACAATTGTCTACTGTAGTGAAAATTGAATTAATGTCACTTTATGTAAAACTTTTTGAATAATAAAATTCATAGCAATTATAACTTTTTGTTTAGGAAATATGAATAATACATATAAATAGACATTAAGATTAGAATTAAAATTATTTAATTAATTCATTTATTAATATTATAAAGTATATTGTACAGTATCAAAAGTAGGAAAAATAGCCAAAAACAGTATACAGTGGTGAGCAGAATCCCGTTCCAAGGGGTTTATGCTCCCATTTTTAACCTGGCTGCTTTTTATAAATATTTTAAAATGGAAAAATGTTTGATTCATGGGACGGATATTTTGGCTATTTCAGATTTTTGTTAATCACCCTGACCGTTTTGCACTGGGAGGTTTTTTAAACGCAAAAATGCTATACCATTATACAGTATTATTTCCATAGAAGATTTTATAAAAAAAATTAAAATTTACAAATTCAGCTACTTTAAAACGAGATATTGCAAATTTGAGAATTTACTTTTTGCCCCTAGTGACCATAAATGTTATGACGTATTGCTTTTGAAAATTGACCGTGTAAATTTATTTGAGAGAGCGTTTATCCTTTATAACCCCCTCCCGGTGCAAAACGGCCAGGGGTTTAACAAAAATCTGAAATAGCCAAAATATCTGTCCCATGGATACAACATTTTTCTATTTCATATATTTAATTAATTTTAAAAAATAATATTTATATTCTTAAATTCTTATGAATCACTTCTCATTGATAGTGCAGTAATTATATTGCTAATAATGAACAATATGTGATAATTATTTGTTCACATTGTTATAACAAAAATATATATCAAATTCATTATTTATAAATTTAATGGTCATATTATGGCCGATAAAACTTAAACAAATATTTCTCATGAAAGTAGTAATTCTATATTTGTATCACAGCTTATTGTCAATTAAGTGCATGATATCTGAAAAATATTTACATTTAATTTATATCATACGACATATGATTTAATATAAGATAAAATTGACAAATATTTACAATATATTTCTACATTTACTTTGTTTTTAGTTTAATTTAGTTTTAAATATATTAATTGCCTAATATTCTTACTATTCATAAACCAAAACAATATGAATGTGTACTAAATTATCATTTTACATTAAAAGTGCTAAAGTAATACTAATAACCGCACACTTTTTAGTAAAAAGTTGTTACCACCAAACTAATTAATACAATATTATTTGCAGATACAGTACATGTAAAGTTTTATATTGCAATTATATTAAATAATCGGTTGGTAAATCAAATAAGTTATATAAGAAATCAATATTGAATATTGAATCTAGATTCTAGATTGTTTAGTTCAATGAATTCTACACATTATTAGCAGTGTTTAAGCAATGATTAACAAAAAATTAAAAAATTGTTGATAAAAATATATATTTCATGGTTTGTGTCAACAGTCATACCATAAGTATCGATGATTAGTGTATTGACAGAGTATTGGATGTGCTATAAAGTGATGTAAAGTACTGACAAAAAATTAAAAAATTGTTGATAAAAATATATATTTCATGGTTTGTGTCAACAGTCATACCATAAGTATCGATGATTAGTGTATTGACAGAGTATTGGATGTGCTATAAAGTGATGTAAAGTACTGTTTATTCAATGTATTGAATGTAAGGGAGAGTGCATTGCATTCACAGTCAATACAGTGTTTGTTACCAACGAGTAGTCAATGAAAGGATTGATTGTTTCATAAGTTTTTTGCTTTAAATGTTTACACAATAAATAAATTGATATTTTTCTAGAAAACTGCACTTTAGTCAACAGTAAGTTAGCATAGGAGCCAAACTTTCTGTAACTTTTTGTTACTCAGCTAACTAACAACACAACAACAGCAACACACAGACGTCAACAGAGCCTTCTGTGGTGGTGACGAGAGGACCGACCGATGGTCTCACAGCCAGACCTCTACATAGAGTGCCCTTACATCAGATCCCATCCGTGAGGAGACATCTGCACGAAGTGGGAACTGCTGTCAAGTATGCGTTACCACAACACCATCTCAAGCACTACAGACCTAACAAAGGGGTTGAGTCCATACCGGAACCGCTGTCCAACTATTTGGACGCCCAATACTACGGAGTCATATCATTGGGAACTCCCGGACAGTCATTCAAAGTATGCCATTATTTATACATTGAGATCCACTCATTGACACTCTCTTTGCATGTTTTTGTACTGATAGGTAGTGTTTGACACGGGAAGCTCTAACCTATGGATCCCCTCCAAGACTTGCAAGTGGACAGACATCGCGTGTCTTCTTCACAATAAATATGACTCAAAGAAATCGTCGACGTATACGAAGAATGGAACCGCTCTTGAGATTCGTTACGGCTCTGGAAGTATGAAAGGCTTTTTGAGTACCGATGTGTTGGCCATCGGTTCGGCTCAGATCAAGGACCAGACCTTTGGTGAGGCGACGTCCGAACCGGGCATCGCTTTCGTGGCCGCAAAGT